GGAGTCGAAGCAAAGTGATAAGAGTAGGGGTGGCTTTCTATGTTTATTATCCTGAAATAGGGATGGTACTCAATTGTTATCAGATATATCATCTACTCATTTCAATTATTCTCATCTACAACATCATCGCCCCGTTCCTGGGGAAAAGGGGTGAGTGGTGAGTGGGCGAGCAAGCATGGGAGGCCGATGGAGAGCATCACGGCGTGAGATGAGAGAGGGGCACGCGTGGGAACAGGGAGACCAGGTCATACAGGGGGCAGCAGGTGCGGGTGGCAGCAGGTGCACACTTGCTTCATGTGACCTCGCGCCATCCTCCCATGCACTCCTCCACCTTCTCCTCGTTCTCATCCCCTTCAACAGCCTCTCCTTCTAATAATCCCTACCCTCCTCCTCCTCCTTCGCCTCCCTATCATTCACTCACTCAAGCTTTGTTTGCTTGCTAAGAGAGATCCTTCCCGAACAATGCAACGCCCTCCCCTCCTGAACAACGCTATCCCAGCTGAGCCTGTACGGCTTGGCCTTCAGGTGCCCGAGGTGGCAGAGGAAGAATCTCGACGTGCCCCCGAGCTGGTTCGGCAAGTCTGGGCCAACGGCCCTCCCCATGAATAAGCCAACTGCTTCACCGTGGGCGAGTAACGTCACATTACTTGAATTCTTCTGGAAGGACTTCGATGCTGCGTCAAGTCGTTTCCGTATCTTCTCTGAGTTCTTCCCATCCCGATCGCACAAGCAACGGTTGGCAACTTTGCAGAGGATGTCGGACAACTTAGGCGGCCCTGCTGCGACGACGGCAGGCACTTCGTGATGCTGCACAATTCCGCATAATGATTCGTACACGTTGTCAATCATCCCAAGAATACCACCAGCTGCTGGAGAACCATGCGTCTTCATGGTAACAATGTGCTTCGCGAGTTCCCTGCAGTTCGGGAACCTCGCAGACAACGAATACAATCGTGATCCAACTGGTGAAGCGTTCCACTCATCAGCACCTCCGTGGTCACGATCTCGGCGAAGGTGAGAGGGCACGCACATGGCCAGGTCAGCCAAGGGACCAGTCGGTGACGCCTCCCACGCAGCATTGTCGGCTGCCTCAGCCTCCGCCGTAGCCAGCTCAGCAGCTCGATGCTTCCGCAGCGCTGCTCGCGCAAGCTGACCTCTCTCGGCGAGCTGGGCTGGGTTGAGGAGGGACAATTGCAAGTCTGATGACGGGCGCGCTCTTGACGAAGAACTGGAATCTGACTGCGACTGGGGCCCGATGCCGCCGAAGGGCCTCTTGTTCCCTGCCTCCTTCGCTTCGTTTCCTCGGTCAGCTAAGTCCTGGCACTTCTGGATGCCCTCAGGTCCGAGTTCCTTGCACATGATGGACAACTGCTGCAGCGAGGGCCGAGCCGCCCCCTTCAGCCCGACAGTTTGTTCACCGCGAAAAGCATCCCAAGATGATAGCTTGCGAGATTTTGCCTTCGGCTGGTCGCCTTGGCCGTCACTGCCAGCAGCTTCAGGCGCATCTCCACGCTCGGCCCTGGCCCTGGCGGCCCTGGCAATTGATTTGAACCCCCAACAACCTCTGGCTAACGACTCCAGCTGTTCATCGATCCAATAAGTATTCAACCCAGCCATATCAAGCACTCGTCGCTGCACGGACCTGCCCACTTGGAAACGTCTGTTTTCTGATGCCTGTACTCGATCTGCACTGTCTCATCTGACATGAGGAGCGCTGTGCTCCGCAGGTCGGCCTGAGCACTGGGAGACAGCAAGTCTTTATGGAACCGAACAAACTCTGCAGACCACTCGTCCAAGCGCTTCCCACACTCTGAACCCGCTAGAACTTCATCGGCAAGATCAGGTCGGTTGATGATCCCGAAAGTCTTGTACGGATAGTTCTTGTGAGCCGCGCGCAGCTCGTTCATACTGTAGGCCCCTCGAGCCAACAACGTAAATACCTTGGTCTGCCAAGCCTTTGTTCGACGCGATGCTGGTATCATCGCCCAAGCATCAGGGTTCGTCATCAGCGCCAAAGTCTCATCGATGAACGTGCTCTCGACGACGCCTTCGTACGCCAAAGGAAGCCTCATCTCCCGCTTCGGCCTCGCACCAAGGTCGCTACCAGCAGCGCCCCCCTGGCGCGCTGCATTGATCTCGATCGTTTTCTGCTTGTTCTCCCATTTGTCCCCAGCAATGCACGGCAGCTTGTCCATTACCTTGATATGCGGGCCTAGGGCGGTGAACAGAATGACGCTCTCGACCAGGACATTCCCAGACTGAATCCATGCACACACTGACTGCCGAAACCTGTGCTGTTCTCGTTTTTTTTCTTCCTCGACGCTGGACTCCGAGGGCTTCTCACATTTGGCCGCAGGGCCCGCTGCAGCGCCAGGGCCTATGCCTATGCCGCCATCGGCATCGTCACCAGCATCTTCTGCGCGATCATCTTCTATTGGGAGCGGCAACGCGTCGTCGTCGTCGACATCACCGCCCACCACAATCATAGCTGCAGCACTCCCCGCTCGAACGCTGCACAAGGTCTCAGCGTAGTCCATATACGCACGCGAGAACACCCCGAACACCAACTCCATTATGCTGCACCATTGAACGCAGTCTTCGCAATGTGTCCAATTTCGGCTAGGGAATGACCCTGGCCCATTCCATACAAGTGCTCTGGTACCTCTGGTTACGAGCTGCTTGATGATCTCGTCGTCGCTCTCGGGACCGTCTCGGTGCACGACAATCTTTCCATTCTCTTGCTGCCAGGGCCCACTGGATATCGCCGGCAATTCATTCCTCCGAAAAACATTCTCAGGTGTGTCTGGCAGTACTCGGTTCAACTGTCGCACGTTCCACAAAGAGTCGCGGGCGATAAGTGTAGTTCTCTCAATCGATGCAGTACAAAGAACGCGGCGAACTGCGCCGCGAAACAGCTTCAAGTGGTTCTGGAAAGAAAATGACAAGGAAACGTGCTTCAGCTTGGAGACCGTTGACTTCATCAAATTGCATACCTCTTCTCTCGCGTTACAACACTTGTGAACGAAACACTGTGTGCGAAGCGTTGCCACCATCTGCTTACTCGTGTCTTGCCCATGTACTCGTGCTCGTTCAGCCCTCTCGATGGCGCCGTCTCCGTCGCTGGCGGAGAGCCGCTGGGCTCGCTTGAATCTGGAACCGATGGAGTCCACGTCCAACAGATCTTGCAACAAGTCAACGCACAAATAAAAGTTTGATGATGTAGTCCGTGACATCCACAGCAAGGGCAAGGGTGGCTTCCACGTGAACAAGATCCACTTCGACTTGTAGTGAACCAGTGCTCCAACAACGATTTCTGATTGTAGCAATTTTGCAACCCCCGTGTCCCTCTTATCACTCTCGCCAGCGGTGCCCTGAGGTAGTGCTTGTAGTTTTTTCAATATCTCATCTGGCACGCCGTACAGCTCGTCCTGGTCGATAAGCGTCATTGTCATTGGAGTCTCGTCGTATCGCCAGGACGTAGTGAAAGTGTGAAGCACCCCGCCGTCCGAAGACGACACCCTCTCGCAAAGCTGATCGAGGTTGTCTCGCATCTGCCAATAGAACAACAACAATGCTACACATGCTAATCTCGATGATGTCTTCAACAGAACTTTCCTCGTTACCTCCAATCGCTTGGCATGTTCTGTGTAAGTGCTCACTGTGAGCAGCGCACAACGTCTAGATACAATGTCATTCGCAACCTTCTCGAAATTCGCATCCTTTCTGATGCGGTCGATGCTGCCATTCTGAATTAACTTCGCGATGTTTCTGAAGACCTGTGGCGCTCCTCTGATGATATGATTGGCACTACTAACGTCGTGGTCGTGATTGCCAGATTCTCCTCCTACTTCCAGGGGTTCATCAAGTGGTACTGCACCGATTCCGTCGATGTCCTCAATACGTTCTAGGCCACAAGCTGCACCACGTGCAGTCTTTACGAGACGTATGGCCTGCTTTGCTGTCTCTCGAAGCTGCGCTCTGGCAGCGTGAACTCTCATGACTGGAACTGGAACTGGTTCTGGTTCTGGCGGCTCTGGTGGATCTGGCACTGGTGGATCTGGTACCGCTACTATGATGGCACTTTCCTGGTGATCAACGTCGGGTCTCTCTTCTGGTGGGTCGTCCTCCAAGCCGCCGTTCGACAAAGAAATCCAACCTGTTAAGAAATCGTCTATGTGCTGGTCTGGGCTGGCCTCCGCGGCGGCGTGTTCAAGCGAATCTACTAGCCACGGGTTTACATCGAGAGGCTCAAACAAACTTTCATTGTCGCTGGAATCACTTGGCTGTGGTAGCCAATCGTCTACACTATCGGATGCCATGCGTTGCCAACCGCGTTGGCGCTGAGCCAAAATGGCTGCGGGAGAGAAGCTTTCCTCCCTCCCGCACAGGGGGCCGGAGAGTCTTAAGATATAGCTCCAAGACAGCCCAAGAGGCCTCTAAGTCGGCCCAAGCGCGTTCCAAGATGGCACCAAGACGGCCAAGAGGCTCCCAAGAGAACTCCAAGACTGCCCAAACGCGCTCCAAGATGGCACCAAGACGGCCTCCGAAGGCGCCACAGACGGGTAGGGTCCCCTCAGACGCCCTAAGAGGCCCCAACGAGGTTTTAAGAGCCCCCCTCTTTATTCGGGTGGGCAAGGAACACTCGCGTTCCGCGGGCTCCGCGCTGGCGCACCCCCCCCCCCCACTACTTGAAAACGAACACAGTTTCCACGAGTGCCCTTTTGACTTCGAATATGATATACGACTCTGCATCCTCTTCGTTACCACTCCTCCCCTGAGGTTTAACGTTATCGATTTTTTGTCAAAACCATGAAGTGTTTGAAAAGTATTTGAAAAGTATTTTCTAGAAAAATAAGACCTGATCTGTTCCTACGTAAGAGAACTTCTCAACTCCAGAGGCCTTCGGAGGGGCCATCCGTCTCCTAAGAAAGCTTCTCAGAAGGCCGGAGGCCTTCCGAGCCCTCTGAGGGGCCCGCCCCCTCGTGTCTTCCTCCCTGGGCTCGCCGCCGACTCAGCATGCACGAGGGGGCGAGACGGCGGCGACCAGCGTCAGGAAGATCACGGCCGGGATGAAGACGCCCCGGCCGAGGACCCTGCAGCAAGCGGCCTCTCGCAGGGGGAGGGGACTTCAGCCACGAGCGACGAGCATGGCCTCGCGGTCTGGGCCCCGAAGCGCGGGCCAATGGACACAAGCAAACGCATAGCAAGGATCCGCGGTAAGTATGCAAGGGCCTTGGGGGGCCATGTTTGCCTTTTTCGAGCGGGATGGGCCAGCGACAATTCAACTAAGAATGGGCCGAAGGGGCAAGGGCGCAAGAGAAAGCAACCTTGGAACATCGGTCACGCTCACTATGCGCGTTGACTGCGCGCAATCCCGAGGACGCGCTTCAGGAACAGGGAACAGCGACACCACCATCACCAGGGACCACCAGCGGACGGAGCCAGTGGGGGTCCCCCTCAGCTTTGGAAGCCCGAAACAAGGCGGTGACAGACCGTGCGGTGACCTCGGAATTCCAAGAGACCTCACCGTACGGTCCGTCACCGCACGGTCTTGGGACCCTGGAGGCCCGTCGCCCGAGACGTCCTCGGAGAGGGACTCGAGTCCCAAAACCGTGCGGTGACCCCGAGTCCCCACCGACTCACCGCACGGTGTGGTCACCACCCCGTTTGGGTCGATCAGCTCGGGGAGACATCGTGGACCTCACCGCTCCGGACCGCGAGGCCGTGGATTTGGATGTGAATCTGGACCGCGAGTCGGAGGATGTGGAGCCTTGCTCGTGACGGAGAAAAGGATAACCCTCGGATCTGTGCGCCGCGACCAAATATTACCTTCAGATTTGGACAACCCGTGCGGTAAACTGGACAAGAGGACAATCGTTGTTCTCGGATAGGCCTCGAAGAACAGCAAATCCTGTTCCAGCTGACCAGGCGCTGCTGTCGGGCATCTCACCCATACGTTCCGTCCCAATGCAGGGCGCGGTTGCAAGTGGCGCACGTTTGCTCTGCGAGGCCGCTTAGCGGAGCCATCAAGTATCAACCAACGATGAACAAACTGGCCCAGGGAGGCCTCACAAACAGGGAGTTCGAGACCGCCTCTTTGTGAGTCCCCCCTGGGCCTCGGCGACAGGACTCCCGCAGTTCTTTGAAGAAGGGGGACGAAATCCTTGCGCGGGCAATACTTCTGCCCATATCCACTACAGCTTGGAGTTTCGGCTCGGCTCCCTTCCCCGCTCGAGGCTCGCTCCAGTGCATGTCGGCCTCTTGGCGCCCCTTTCAAGAAGGTCCAAGACACACTGCAGATCGATATAAATCTTGCCCGGGCTTCCGGAATGGAGCATGGAGCGGTAGGAATTAACAAGAGGCGCGCGTGCCAAGGATCAGCGGGGCCATGGCAGGGAGGGCCTCCGAACCAACAAACTAATCGACCGCGCCAAGAAACGTGCCAGCGCCAGGAGGCCCGCAACGTCGCCCTGAGCAGCTCCGCGCTGCTCCCAGGCAGGCTGTGCCGCCCGGCGAAGGGGGGGGAGGGAGACGCAGGCAGACGACGACAACCGCACGGGCGGGAGGTCGGGGCCGGCGGGGCGGGCGGGCAGGCGGAAGGGGGACCAGACGGAGAGAACAGGCAGGGAGCAAGAGGAAAGATGGCATGGCAACTGCTCGGAAGTCCTCGTCAGAGGGACTAAAGGAGAGTAAGCCCTATTGGGTAGCTGCTACACCAAATTCGGCCGCGCATTGAGCGAGTAGAAGCCGGATTAAGCGGGATCAAGCAGGATTAAGCTGAATTCAGCCGAATCTGGGGAGATCTACCCGGATTAAGCCGTATTTCGGACGAGGGCAAAGTCTGAATTCGACCCTTTAAAAATTGCGCCCGAAGAAAAGGAAGGGGGCAAACAAGAGGAGGAGAGGAAAAGAAACTGCGCGAGAAGACAAGGCAGGGAGCAGAAGGACACGGAATAAGAGGGGAAGGGGAGGGGGAACACGATGCCGAAGGGAGGTGGAGCAAACGCGAGCAGACAGACCAGAGAGTGCGGCAAACGCGAGCGAACGCGTGCGGCTTCGTGGGAAGAGTCCTCTGCGGAAGCGCCCACCTCTGCGGGCCCCAAGAGTACACACCACCACCACCTCCATTCCCCCTCCCTCCTCCGCCCTCCTCTTCCCCTCCTTTTCCTCGGAGAGGGAGGAAGTGAGGGAGGTGGTGGTGATGTACATGTATGTGCCCCGTAACCTCCCCGGCGGAAACAAAACAAAAACGGACGGCACGACGTCGGCACAAGGGCGCTGGGGGCGCCCGTGCTGTCCAGCAAGGGCGGGGGGGGGGGCAGGGGTCCCTGTAGGCATCGCCACGGGGACCTCCTCACACGGCGCCCGCGTGGAAGCAGCCGTGGCCGCGGCCAGGCGGGCCGCAACACCGCCCGCGCGCTTGCCCTGCGCAGGCAAACCGAATCCCTGGGCGTATTGGTCCGCACCATATGATTCGTCTCCCCCCGTGGCGTCAGCCACGGGCAAACATACATTTTTGTTCGGGGGCCGCGCGCAAGGAGGCCGAGCCGCGACGCCAGAGGAAGGGCGGAGGCACAGCGGATCCTGGATCGGCCCTCCTCGCTTCTGAAGGGGCGCGCCCCTGGAAAAACGAGCGGGTGGTGCCAGAGGTGGTCCTGCCACGGAATGTCCCCAGCTCCCCGCGCCATCTGTTAAGGGCAAGCGAGGGGGGGGGGGGGGACGGCCTTTTTCAGAAAACTTGTGGGATGTTTCAGAAGCCCTCGCGCCTTCTGAAAAGTGTCTTGTGTCTTCGGGGAAGGATCAAGAAACTTCTTAGAAGGCTGGTGGACTCCCGAACTTCCTGACAACGGGCCGCCCCTTCCAACTTCCCTTCCAGGGCGCGCCGCCGAATCTTGGAGCCTCAATGGGGCCTTCTGAGCCTCTCGAAGGCGAGCTGGAGGCCACCCAGGCCTCCCCTGGGACCCTGGGGGCACCTTGGGCCCAGGAAACATGTGGCGACAGCCGAAGAAGAGGGCGGGCGCAGCCGCATAGCCAGCACGATGGGCGCGTGGCGGATGAAAGCGGGATTGGGCGAGGACAGAACTGACCAGGATTATCCGTCGGTCAGAAGAAGTGGGCATAAGCATGAAGGAGGAGGGCGGTGAAAAAACACAAAGCGGCCGCGCGCCGCCTGCAAAGGGGAAAGAGGAGGGGACACCACGCGATCATTGCAGTAGGAAGGCGCAAAAAGAAGATAGCGAGCTGGAAATTCCAAAATTCCGACATTCAGCGATTCATTGACAAACGGATCAGCCATATCAAACGGGATCAACAATGGGCGGGACGATGTCGACCGCGGACAAGCCAGCGCCGACGGTGACTCCACCCTCCCAGGAGCTGCGCCCGAGCAGGTGGGGCGAGCGGTCGATGGGGACAAGCGCGAGGAGTTCACGCGACCCTCCTCCGACGTTGTGCGCTCCTCCTGCTGAAGAAGCTCGTCGTCGCTGTCGCCGCCGCGGTCGCCCTCCCTGCAGCCCCCCTCCTCCAACGTTCCCCCCCTTCTCTCCTCCGACGTCGCAGCTCTGCTGCCGTGGCGTGGGCCCGCCCTTCGTGCGATTACAACCGAATGAAATTCTTGATGTCAACAGCGACCATCCAACTGAATTGCCCACAGTCAAAATCGATTTCAAGTCCATCTAAACGCTGTGTTTGTTGATGCACGTTTTCCAAAAACACCGAGGTTCACAATCAATGCGTAAGCCATGTGCAGTTGGATTTTGATGTGGGGGGCGCCCAAAAGCAGCGCCTCGGGGCCGCGGAAGCTAACCAGGAAAGCATAAAATTGGTTGGCGCTTTCACTTTTTTTATTTAAAAAAGGACACAGCGTGGCTGTCGCAAGTTTCATGCGTGAAACACACGAAACCGCTGACAGTCACGGGTTTTCCGTGGCGTTCCAAATATTCCCAGTGAAAAAACACACACGTTCTTGTTTATAGGGTTGTCCTGTTTTTGTTCCGGTGTTCTTGGTAAACGGTCCCAAGACGCTCCTTTTGTTGTGTCATGTGTTTCTTTGTGCGTCGTCCTGTCTTTCATTTTTTCCCGGTAAGCTTTCGCGGCCCCAGGGCGTTGCCCCTGGAAGTCGCCGCGCTTACAATCGACGCGAAAGCAATATACAAATTGATTATGATTGCGGGTGTATAGCGGGCGCCAACAACCATAATCAACTTGTAAGCCATCGACAACTTGATTCTGATCGCGGGGGGGGGTCCAGAGGCATCGCCTTGGGGCCACGGAAGCTCACCAGGAAAACATTTTTTTAACAAAAAACTACGTTTCACGTGGGGCAATGGGAACAACGAACGAAAACATTGGACTTACGCCATTTTTATGGGTGGAACAAATGAAAACGCTGACAATCACAGGCTGGCCTGGGTTTTCACAAATTGCCCCACTCGCGGCCCCAAGGCGCTGCCACTGGAAACCCCCATAATCGAAATAAAAACATCCCTAGAAGAGAGGACTGACCACGCATCCCGTTCATTTTTCTGGCCACGCCGCTCCGAGCGGATGAACCCGAACTTCGCATTCACCGCCCGCTCGACGGCGCAGAACTCGTCGACGCACGCGGCCATCTCTAGGCGAATCAGAAAGCGTAGAGGCAGACAGCACAACGCAACGAAGAGCGAGTGCAAGCTTGAGCCAGGAAAGCTACGGCGCGACCTAATCCCAGAAGGGGTGCTCTCTCGCGTCCCTTGTTGGGTCCTTGCGAGCCCCTCTTTTTGCATATTGTTCCAACTGCGTTGCCATGTGTCCCTTGTCGGGCTTCCATCCCAAGTCCCTTGCGGGGTGGCTCCCCGGGCGCCCCTGGCTCGCCCCTTGCCGGGGCCCTCGTCGCGTCGCTGGGGGCATCCAAAAGCACCCCAAACTGTTTGACGGCACCTTGTTTAGGATTATTGTTGACGTCGCTGCGTTGAGGGCATCTCTGTTCGGGGCGCCCTCTATCAACCATGCCCCAAATCGGTCGACTGCGCCCTTGTCT